CTGACCTGGGCCAACATACAGCTGGGGCTTTTGAAGTCACTCCGGGTTCAAGTTCTGGCTCTGCTACTTACTGGCCAGGCAACTCTGGGCGATCTGCTGAAGCGCTTTGTGTCCTGGCTTCTGCCTTGTAAAATGTAGATAATCGTAGTGCCTACTTCATAGGAGGGTCATAAGAGGTGAGACACGTAAAGCACAGAACACAGTTCCTGGCATATTGTAAGCATTACATAATATATATATTTATATATTACATATATATATATGTTATATGTTGTATATATGGCCATTGTATGGGTTTGGATGCCTTAAGTCTTCCTTCTTCCAACCTGATGTCCCTTGGAGAGAAAGATTCAGGACATCCCTGATGAGGAAACAGCCCAGCAGAATGGGCCAGACTCTGTGCAGAAGGGTGGCAGGACCAATGTTCCAAGCTCTTGGAGATGCTTCGTACTGGTCCCCGTGGGATCAGTGCTAACTTCACAAGCTCCTGGCACAGAGGAGCACATAGCTCCTTCCCAGTAACTGCTTGCTGAGGGAGTGAGGCGGCTGACCCCCTGGCTGGGGACTGGGGCACCCTGAGGTGAGGATGGAGCAGAGAGGCTGGACCAGGAGGTTTGGACCCACTTTCAAGGTGTCTACCAAACACAGCAAGCCCTGCTGTGGTGGACAGGAAGGAAAAACGAGTCCCTGACTATTGGAGGTCTCTGCTCTGTCATTTGGGAATAGAAGGATGACCTTTCTAGAATTTTTATGCAGAGTCTTAAAGTATGAACCAAGGCCACTGATTGTAGCTCTCTGTCCAAAGAAAAATAGACTATGGAGCAAATTTACATAAAGTGATTATTTATTATCACTTGCTACTGTCTGAAATGATCTTACTTACTGTTTATTATCTGCCTTTCCCACTTAACTTGAAATTCTCTAAGATCAGGAACCTGGTCTGTTTTGTTTACTATTCTCCCTCCAGCAGGTAGAGTAGTGCTGTTCAATATTTGTTCATTCAGTCCCTCACTATTTAAGTTAAAAAAAAAAAATACTGAAGGAGCAAATGAATAAATACTTGGAGGGGTGCTTCACTTCTATTATGGGGTTTTATATTTCTCTAATATTGAAGATGTTGTCCCACAGGAAAAAAATACACTGAAACACTCTGGTAAAAAAGTTAAGATAGGCACCAAGATCACAGCCTGCTCACTTTTACTTCTCTGGAAGTGTTTTTGAAAAACTTTGCAATAATTAGTGTCACAAGCCCAAGATCACCTCTTCTCAAGGTCACAGGAAATCTCCTCAATCTTGGTTATCACCTAGTGTCTCATTTAAAACTACGGAAACTCCGCTTTGCATCTTTCCCTTTATTCTATTTTTTTTAAAGATTTTATTTATTTATTTATTTGAGAGAGCGAGCACATGAGTGGGGGAGGGTCAGAGGGAGAAGCAGACTCCCTGCTGAGCAGCAGGGAGCCCGATGCAGAACTCGATCCCGGGACTCCAGGATCATGACCTGAGCGGAAGACAGTCACTTAACCAACTGAGCCACCCAGGCGCCCTTTAGTCTAGATGATTAATAATGTCTGATAGAGCTACGCTGCAATATCACAGTCTGCCAGCAGGTGTCGCTGTCTAACAATACATGATCTTGCGTGAGACCAACCCCCGCCGCCCCCTAGCCTTTTAAGGCCGAGTCTATGAAATGAACCAGTGTACTAATTCATGAAGGCTGTAAGATAAGGTCCCCGCTATTTCAATTTCACTTCATGAGATAAGTATAGCTTATGTTACGGATGCAGAATGGGCCTATATTTTATTAACATGCTTCAGTGTTCTTTCATTTCTGGTGGATCTTGCCACACTTTCATGTTATGGATCTGTGCTTTTACCAGGAAAGTTTTTTTTTTAATTGTCAATAATAATAATAATAATAATATCTAAAATGCATTTATTATTTTGAAATTCCTCAAAAACCTCTGATTTCATTCCAACACATTGTTGTTGCCCTCAATATTTGTTGGATGATTGCCCCTCCCCTCCCCAGCAAATCCTGGGGAACACATAGAGCTACCCTACAGATGGAGAAACTGAGTCTCAGAAAGGTGAAGTAGCTTGCTCAAGGTCCTACAGGCAGGGAATGACAGCGCTGGGATTTGTCTAATTCCAAATCCCTTATCCGTCCATTCACTCCAGGTGGCAAAAGGGACCCAGAGAAGATGGGTGCCCCCCACCCCACCCCGCAGGAGACAAGAGCTTGTGAGGGCAGCAGATTCGGCTCGGAGGGCTCAAAGGTGTCCAAACCATCTCTGGACAGATTTTCCATCATCAGAAAAAGCAGCTGATGTTAATTTGCTATCTACTAATTTCTTCCCGTCATTTTCCTGAAACAGATTACAGAAGGGAACAAATTGTGTGTGCCGATGCCAGGGATGAAATGTGGGGGTGGGGGTGGGGGTGGAGTCAGGTGATGGCATCACCAGGAGCCCAGAGCCACCCCCTCCCTACTCACCCCCTGTGGAACACAGATACTTAGTTTAAGACTTGAGTCAGTCTTCAAATTCCTGGATGTTTATCAGCTGATGTCACAATGTTTCAAGATTTTGTGTCTTTTTAGCAAACAATAGCATCAGCATTGATAGGGTGAGTATACGCCCCTTTCTCACAATCTGTTCTCCAGGATTGTGCAACAATGCTCCCTGCTGCAGTGGGTCAGGGCTGGATGACCAGCTCTCCAGCATGGTCCTGCCCACCTGCCCAGAGCCCTGGCAGAGAGGAAGGCTCACTCCCCAGAGATTCCTTTGGGAAATTTAGGTCAGCAGGATCTAATTACCCGACTGGCTCAGAGCTGAGATTTCAAGATTAATGCTGAAGGAGGGTGGAGTGGGAGGGCTGAGGACTCCTAATTGGGAACCATCTGTTTCAGGGCCCTCACTTCAAAGGTGGGGTCTCTGGCCCTCAGTCAACAGATGCCGCCACTTGAATTACACGCAGTCTGCCCCAGTCTGCCCCAGAAGGTCTCCTCCAGAATAAAAGGTGAAGCCTGGAGGAGTCCCACTCAGGAGGCTGACAGCAGCATGGCCCCGGGGCCATGGGGCTGCAGCACCGGCCCCAGGAGAGGGCAGCACCGGGCCAGGGGCGCACACCTCCTGTATAACACTCTCCACCGTGCTTACTCCTCCAAGGGAGAGATCCCAAGCACAGGAGGGGCTGTACTTTTTAGGAATTAGACAACTCCCAAGGTATACCAGTAACTTGGCAAGATCCCCTTGCCATCCCGGATGTTTTCACAGTTCTCCCAAGTGCTATTACACCCTGGGACAACTAACAATTCTCACATTGCAGAGTGGCTGAAGGGAGTCCTGGGCTCTCTTAATCCCAGCCGCCCCTGGGTTGCTGACAATGGCTGTCCACCTGAGCAGCCTGGGTTCCTAGAAAACGGGAACCAGGAGTGTTAACTGGGCCGCCAGAATGCCCACTGAGGCTCACTCTTTTTTAAAAGATTTTATTTATTTATTTGACACAGAGAGAGAGAGAGAGCACAAGCAGGGGGAGCAGCAGAGGGAGAGGGAGAAGCAGGGAGCCCAAGATCATGACCTGAGCCCAAGGCAGATGCCCAACCGACTGAGCCACCCAGGCACCCCAGTCTTAGTAATTTTTAAATTCAAAACAAAACTGATTTTCAGCACAGGGAAGTGAGAAACTGGAAACCATAACAGAATCCATTTGGGCTTGCAGCTCTGATCCAGCAGGGCCTTTGCACCAGGTAGGGCTCCCTCACTTTAGGAGTATAACAGCAGTCCTGCCCTATAGCGTTATGGTAAAGATGAAACAACATGAAACCACATTTCGTGTTACAGCTCCAATAAAAATAATTCAGTGGACACTACACATAGGGGTGGAGAAAGGCAGGGAGGTTTTGCTCTTAAAACACTAATTTATTATTTATTTATTTATTTATTTATTTTTATTAAAGATTTTATTTATTTGAGAGAGAGAGAGAACACGAGCAGAGGGGAGGGGCAGAGAGAGAGGGAGAGGGAGAAGCAGACTCCCCACTGAGCAGGGAGCCAGATGTGGGGCTGGATCCCAGGCAGAGCCTTAACTGACTGAGCCACCCAGGCACCCAGAACAGTTCTGGTTCGAGGGTTGCGGAGGAAAATTCCTTTGAGGAACCAAGAGCCACAAGACACTCTTCAAGAAGTCCTGGGGGTGGAGGACCTACCCGGCAATCGCTCACTCATTCATTCAACAAACATTCGTGGAGCGCCGCCTGCTGTATGCTCTGAGCTGAAGAGCCCGGGCCGGGGGTGGGGGGCGGGGGGGCGGTCTGGGAGTTCAGAGACCCCGGCCAGTCCCTGTGGGTACCGAAAGGGAAACGCATGGGGACGGGGGCAGGGCGGAGAGTCCCAGTATTATCTTGCTGGCCTACGTCCTCCTCTCCTGCGCCTTCGAATTACGGAACTTTAAACTGCTGGGAATTTCAGATGAGGCAAGCAAGGCCTTGGTCCCAAAGTTATTGAAACAACCCCCACCCTCCCAAGAGATTTTTTAAAAATTATTATTAGTAAGCCCCCCTCCCCCGCACGGCCGCGGCCCTTCGGGTGTTGCAACCCCGGCCTGTCGCCCAGCGGAGGCTGCCCGGCGTTTCCCAAAGACGCCTCCCGAGGGACCGAAGCTCCGGTGCAGCCCCGCGGGCCCCGGCGGCCTCCGAGTGGGGCGGCGGCGCGGGCGGAGGAGGGGGCGGCCGAGGGAGCGCCCGGCACAGGGGGTGCCCCCTCCGCCCCGAGCCCCGCGCCCGCCCCTGGGGGGCACAGCACCCGGCGCGCGGGAGCCGGAGCCGGAGCCGGAGCCGGAGCCGGAGCCCAAGCCGCGGCCGAGGGGGCGGGGCGGGGCCGAGGGGCGGGGCGGGCTCCACTGGCCCCGCCCCCCGGCGCTTTCCTCTCCCCGCACTTTAAAGCCTTCTCCTGCTTTTTCTTCTTTGCACAGAAGTCGCGCTCGGGCTGCCCGCGCGCTCGCAGCAGGAACCAGGCTCCAGGCGCTGGCGCCGGGGCCGCGGGAGGAGGCGAGTTCGCTCCCTGCGGCGGGCGCGGCCCGGGCGCCCCGGCCTCCTCGGCCCCGGAGAGCGGCGGCGGCGGCGGCGGCCTCCCTGGCGCGGTAGGCAGCGCCGGGCACGGGGGACCGGGCGGGTGGGGGTCCGGGAGGCGATCGCGGCACTCGGGGACCGAGTGGTGGGCGCAGGGCCGGGCGCTGGGGGCCTGGTGGGTGAGGGTCCCGCTGGGGACCCGCTAGGGGTCCGCGGGGAACCCTTCTCTCGCCACAGGTCCCGGCCGAGGGGGCCAGGGCGCCGCCCAGAGCCGCTGCGGCTGCGGGCGCCTGCGGGTCGCGGCGGCCCGGGGGTCCCACCTGCGGTGGCGAGACAGGGCGGGGGTCCCGGCGGCCGCGACCACTGTCGCGCCCGGGGTTGAGCCTCGGCTGCTGCAGACCCGGGGAGGGGACCCCGGGCGCGCGGCGGCCCCCACCGACTTCCAGGTGCCCGGGCGCCCCCGGGCTCCGATCCCGCGGCTGTCCCCGCGGCCGAGGCGGGGGCACTGACCTGCCCCTCCCACACGGGGGCAGCGCGACCCTGCTCCGCGCAGTTAGTTTCGCTTTTCCCGCCAGTCGGGAGCCGGATCTGCAGCGTGGCCCTACTGGCCCCCTCGGGGCTCCCCTGCCCTGCCCGCCGCGCCTCCCCCGGGGAGCCCGCCGGGGCGACACCCCGGGCGGCGCCTCCCTCTCCGCCATCCGGGAGCCGCCGCAGCCTCTCCCGGCGACCAGGGGGGAGCCGAGTGCTGTGTCAGCAGATCGATTGAAACAGAAAAACCAGAGCAGCCTGGGTCGGTCGGTGGCACCGCGGGAAGGGTCAGCCCGCGGCCAGGGTGTGTGGGGACTTGGTAACTGTCCTGTTCGAGTTCAAGGCAAGGGCTCCTGGAATGCTAACTGGCCCCTGGCGCGCTGGCTTGCCCTGATGGGAAACTGCAAGTGAGTGTGTGAGTGAGTGTGCGGCTGTGTGTGAGAGGTCTGGCGACCGAGTGTCTGTGTGTCTCTGAGCCTGCCTGTGTGCGTGTGTCTCAGCGAGTCAGGGTGGTGTGTCTGTGTGAGATTACGTGTGCGTGCAGTGTGTGTTTCTGTGTGTCTGGGCATCAGTGAGTGTGTGCCTGGGGTGTGTGTGTGTGAGTGTGTCTGTTCGGGGTAAGCGTGCATCTCTGCGAGTGTGTGTGAGTGTGAGTGTGTGCCGGGGGTGAGTGTGTGTGAGTGTGTGCCTGGGGTGAGTGTGTGTGAGTGTGAGTGTGTGCCTGGGGTGAGTGTGTGTGTGTGTGTGTGTGTGTGCCTGGGGTGAGTGTGTGTGTGCACCATCTAAGGTAACCTGGCCGTAGGGCTGCTAGTGACCGAGAGCTGCTTACCTTGACTTTCCTCGTTTGGTTCTTTCTCAAATGTGGGCTGTGCAGACCGGTCGCCCCGCCGGTGCTAGCTGAGGAAAACACAGGCTCCTTCTCCTTCCCTCTCCTCTTCTCTGAAAATGCACCGGGCGGTTTGGGGGTGAGTTGGCAGGGGCTGCTTCCTGAGTGAGTAATATTTAATTAAACACTCCAGCCGGTAGCATCAGAAACTGGTCATGAGCTGAGTTTTAACAGGTGGTGATGGTAAAAAACGCCATCCCTGGTGACTGCAGATCGGTGTCCTTGGCAGAATTCTCTGCTGGGGCAGGACGGCACAGGAGGGGGCCCAGAACTTCATCCCTGGTTGCTGGGTGTGAGGACAGCAAGCATTCCTTCTCGACCGGCCCTATTCCTCTCTGATACTCCCCCTCTGGGTGGTGGAAAGTGCTAGATTAAGCATGAGGGGCATAGACAGGCTTCCCTCTGCTGAGGCATCACGGAGCTGAGGGAAGCCCTGTCTTACTTACAGGGCATCTATGTAGGCCAAGCTTTCCCTTCCCGGCAGAGGCCCGGAGAGGGTGGCTGACTTACACACTGCAGAGCCAGGCCTGTGGACGGTCTCCAGAGCCCTGGCTGTTGCCCCAGGTTACTGCCTCTGGTGCTGAGGTCATGGGCCAGGCACCTCACGTCCCCCCAGCTGTAAGGTGATGGACTGGATTAGATCATTTTAAGCACTTCTTGTTCTCTTACTGCTTTTCCTTCTGCAGAGAGTACTTTACCCAGGAGAGAGAGCTTGCCAGTGGGGAGGTGTGGAGTGGCCCAGTGCAATAACTTTATAAATCCTTTTCTTTCCCAGCCTGGCTACCACCAGGGAAGCAGAATCAACCACAGTGGTTCTGACAGTCACAAGCCAAGCAGGGGCAGACCTGGCTTCAGGGAGGTCAGGGCTATGGGGAGATGGTGGGTTCTGGGGGTTGCACGGCTCTTAGGAAGGAGTGGTCCCGCCAGGGGCCCTGGGTGATGTCACTGTGTTCCTGGGTGAGACTGCATTCCTTGGGCTGCTCCAACAAGGTTGAAACCACCCTCCAATGGGCTCCTGGGGCTGCCTCCTGAAACACTCTGGGCCCCTGGGCAATCAGTGTAGAGGTTTCGTTTCTCCTCGGGAGCCTGGGAACGGGGGGGGGGGGGGGGGGGGTGAGCTGATGGAGGCCAGCGCTGCCCCTGCTCACTAGGGACAATGGAGACTGTGCTCCCCTGGCTGGGCCTGGTCCCCTTCTTGGACCTTCCCCCTCCTGGGATGAGCAGAGACTTGCCCACTGATGCGTTTTCACATTTAGCAAAACCTCCAGTTCTACAGTGTTGAGAGTTTTGTCCAGGAATTTCACGCCAGTTCTTTGCAAGAAATAGCTTATGGCTCATGGGCATAATCCGTTTATGTTTTGGTGCCTGAGGAGTTTGAGAACGAGGATCTTTATCAGAGAAAAGCACAGGGCAGGTGTAGATGTGCCTCTGTACGCCTCGGGATGCGTAAGCCTGTCCCTACCCGACAAGCGTGACTGATGAAATCCACACTTTTATTTTGGACTTCCCACATAGCGCTTTCCCTTTTCCCAGGTAGCTGATAGAGTGAGTCCCTCCTAATCTAAGAGTCAAAGTCCAGCTCGTAGTCAGGTGCTAGGCGTGTCGTGCTATGTGCTTCCCAGGCGTGACATTGTTGGACGTCATGATGATGGTGATGGTGGCGATAGTAGGAAATGGTTTTATAGCCTGTGTTAGTTCCAGGCTCTGATCTGAGTCCTTGAGACATTAACCCTTGTACTTTTCCTAAGAACCTGGGGCAGCGAGCAGGTTCTCCTTCCATCCACCTCCTCCTGGGGTTGGAACGGCCAGCTACACAGCTTGGCCAAAGTCTTGCTGCTACTGGGTGGTGGAGCGGAGCTCTAACCCTGATCCTGGTGCTTAAGCTCTCTTAATTAGTATAGTATGCCCCCCTCTATCCACTTGACCTTTTCTTCAAGAAGCACGTGCTAATTTTTTTAATGAAAAATGTCTATTATTACGGAAAATTACAAATATATAGCAGAGCTGGGAGAAGGGTATAAGGTTCCCCCACCGGCTTCAAGTGTCAACGCATATACACACCCTCACGCTCACACACCTCTGTGTACACCCACGCACGTGTCCACACACGCGTGCACACACTCATGCTGGACTCTTCTGAAGCAAGTCTCAGACATGCTATCACGTCATCTGTAAGTACTTGCTAAGCATTTAAGCGAAATCTCAAGTCTCAGAGAGGTAGACTGACGCCATGGGGGGCAGGTTGGGGTAAACGCACTCTGCCTGGCTTGGACTTGAGAGCCCTTCCTGGCTGTGGCAAGGGGAGGATGGCTCATGGGGAGATCTGTCTTGCTGCCGCCGCCACCACACCCCCCAGAGTCTTTGGGAGGCTTCTTGCTTGTTTTGTGTTTTAAAGTCCTGTTCATTGCTCAACATTACAAATAAATGAGTCCACTGGTCATGAGACAGACCACATCAAGAACAGACCTAGGCTCCCTGTGGGCCTCCCTTGGAGATGGGGAGGAGGACCTGAAAGGCACAGCCCTGCTTTGCCCCTCATCGAGGCTGGGCCTTGGGTGGGCATGGGCATTCGAGATAGGGCCTGGGCGGCAGGGGATGTGGAAGTGGTTTGTTAACAAGCTTAAACTTAACCAAGCTTAATCGTCTTGATTGAAGTCCCCACGGTGCAGGTAACGGATGGAGGAACGTGTAGGCGCCTGCCACCCTTGGGAGGCGGTGGGTGGTTTGAGCCCAAGACTCAGGGCATGTGGGACGTAAATGCCACGGCGGGGTTGGGGACGGGGGGGATCCAGGATCTACCTAGTGACAAGTCTTGACAACTGCCCCAGCTGTGAAAAGCCCTTGCCAGACAGGCTGCCGTGGCCACACAGCTCCTGGCTCTGCTTTCAGGCCTGCGATTATTAAAAATGTTTCCTTGTGTCCTGCTGCCTCTGTTTCCCACTGGTTGGGATGGAGGCTGGCGGCGTTTTCAGGGTGGAATCCACAGGTTGGGTAACTGTTTGGACACGGGGTGTGAAGAACTGCAAATGTCTGGGAGCCTCCTGGCCAGTTTGGGGGTCTGACTGGATGGTGACCCTAGAGAGAGGGCTGGGGGCCAGGGGCATGGAGGTGCCTTGAGCCTCTCCCAAGGTAGAAATGGTCTATGGATGTGTCCAGATGGCAGCTAGGCCAGGGGCTCTAGAGAGAAGCCTGGGCTAGAGACAGAAACTTTGGAACCCTCTTTCCAAGGGGATCAGCAGAAGAGCATCTGGCATGAGATGAGGCGTGCCCGGGAATAGAACCCTTGTTCTGGCATTTTCATCTAGAACCGGGGGAGAGACCCTAGTGCTCCTGCGTGTCCCGCCTGTGACAGCGAGGGTGTGTGTGGGGTCCCCACAGTGGTGCCAGGCTGCCCAAGAGCCACGTGGGAAGGCCTCTCTTGGGTTAGGGGTTTCATACTTACCTCTCGTTTTACCGTAAAATGCACGTGACATCACACTCCCCATCGTAGCCACCGCTAAGTGCGCCGCGGGGTGAAGCGCATTCCCGCTGGTGTGCGGCCGCCACCACGTCCGTCTCCCGGGCTCTCTCCAGCCTGCAAAACTCGAACTCTGTCCCCATTAGATGCTGACTCCCCATTCTCCTCCCCCAGCGCCTGGCACCCTCCATTCCGCTTCT